GATTGAATAAGCGAGAGATGACATCGTTTTTTTTTTTTTTGGTTAATCCTTTAAGCCCCAGTATCCACATACAAATTCTCCAGACTGATCTCCATACATTTCTATTAAGAATTGTTTAGAATTTGGTTTAAGATCAAAGCGTTCTTAAAATTCTCATAACCTTTACTCTTGATGATCTGCTGATGTTGTGTTTAGAAAATTGATGTTAGTTATCCGTCTTGGGACCTAAAGGATTAAATCTTGCCGAGCTGCACAGGCTGCACAAAATTTTTTTCTTTAAAATCCTCTTATATTTATTACTGGTCCTTACAAAATCTAAAAACATCAGAGGAAAATTTCGCAGGACACCTTGATTTCCGGACTGCAGGTAACACCAGATGACTTGACTTGATGCGAAAGCGTTGTCAACTAATAAATGTAGATGTAGATGTACCAGGAACATAATGGAACCTCGTATTTTGTTTTGTTATTTGTGTATTTTCTTTTTTTTTTTGCCGTTTCATAGTGATTGGCTGTTTAACGCGGTTATTCATGAATAGACACGTCCGTTGGGACAAACGTTGTTTGTTTTCTTTTTCTTTTTTATCTCTCTCTTTCCCTCTTGTCACAAGAGCTACATTATTATTCTTTATATTGTGGTCGTTGCGTTGTTTGTAGTTTATTGATGCATATTTTATGCATGTTCATCCATATGCATGGCCGAAAGAGAGCTTTCAACTGGACTTTCCGTCACGAGTAACACAGACATGATTACAACACAACTCGAGTGAAACATTAGGTAGCCGCTCAAAAAGAAGAGGGAGTAAATGACAGCAAATACAAAGGAAGCACGGACGAATAAATCTGAAGAAGATTAAAATGTCTAAAATGGAGTGCAATTAGGGTTTGAAAACTTGTTAGCCAGACAGTTTTACTAAGTTAATTTTTGTTATTTGTAACGATTTATATAAAGCTTGGAAGACATATTTTGTTTGCCAAAGCTCTTGGGTTATTTCTTAAGTTTCATAGCGAACTGGCAATAGAAAATGAAGAAGACAGCCTTGACCGAGGGTGCCAATGGGGTTAGCAGTAAACTGATATCTGGCCAAAAAAAACAGTAGTTAATTGATAATTGGCCAAAAAATTAGTAGTTAACTGAGAATTGGGTACCTGCATTACCACCCTCTTGACATGGGTCCGCCAATATTTAACACAACCCCTTTAAATTCTATTTACCTTGTGCCTTTTTTCTTCTTCGCGTAGCGCGTTCAGGTCATCTTCTTTGATTTCAACCGCATTCATGCTCTCCTCCAGTTCATCAAGGCTGTTGCTGACCCGTCCCATCCACTCACCACCCATAATCAAAATCGCTTGCACCAAGCTTTGTGAAGGATTAAAAAAACATAAGTTTTCTTGGAAACCGCTCACCTACTCCTCTCCTAAGCCAACATTTTACCCTAAGTGAGAAGTGATTGTTAATGTTGGCTAAGGGGAGGGGTAGGTAGACAGTTCCCCAGAAACCTAAATTGACCCCCCCTCCTCCCCAGGGTTAGTGCCGAAAGTCTTTGATTCTAAAAAGATTTTTTTATAGCCTTTTGAAAAAAAAATTAAAACTCAATCTTCAAATGAAGAATGATCCTTGCAGTTGTGAACGCAATTTATGCAATTGCGTGACTAACCCTAAAAAAATTAAGGACTTCAACGGGATTTGAACCCGTGACCTCGCGATACCAACTGAGCTATGAAGCCACTGAAAAGTTGGTCAATTATGTGTTCATATGTTCCCGGGAAAGAGATGAATGTGATAGATGTATATAAATCATATAAGAACTGCGAGGATCATTCTTCATTTGATTTCATTTCAGCAGTTCTTAAATGATTTATTTTATACAGTGTATACATCTATAACAAACTCAATTGTGTTTTGACGAAACAAGAGACAAAAGAAAATTTGCCTAGAGGACTTCTCTTTGTCTGTCATTAATTTGCAGTCTGTCTACTTTGAATTAATAAATATTACTCAACGAAGGCGCAGTCAAAACGGAAAAGGTTTTGTGATTCTGGTGTTGGATTTATCCATAGAGTCATTGCCAGTTTCGCTAGCCGAACAAACTGCGGGCTCCGCGGATGGGAATATTTATAACACCTATAAGGGTGAAACCCTACATTTAAGCCAACCGCATTTTTTTGGCCAAAGCCAAACCGTCAGATTTAACAGATTTTCATGACGAGGTCACACTCATGCTCGGAGACCCAGGGGCAGATAGTGGGGGTGAGGGAAAGTCTAAATGGGCGGAAAGATATGGCACGAAGAAAAGTAAAGAACGGAAGAGACCAGACCAGACCACTTCCAAACGGTCGTCGCCGTTCTGACTTCTGATTGGGCAGAAAAACTCAAAAGTTTTCTGGCACCAATCAGAAGTCAGAACGGCGGTGACCGTTTGGAACTGGTCTGGTAAGACATTGTCCCCAGGGGCTCTTCTCGCCCTTCTTTACTTTTTTTCGTGCCATACCTTTCCGCCCGTTTAGACTTTCCCTCGCACCCACTTTCTGCCCCTGGGTCTCCGAGGATGGGTCAAACTGAGCTTTGTACCACTTGTTACTAAGTGTAAATAGCTTTAAATACATTGAGAATGCAAAACCTACCGCTGCTTATTGACTTCATGGGAACGCCACATTTCTTGCCAACGATCATTTAAGTCATCGACCTTTCTACGCAGCCTTACACGACTTTCCACGGTCATCACATTCACACTTTCGCTTTCTTCAAAGGTTTCCTTTACCAAGATAAAATTGTTGTTCTCCTGCTTCATGTTTTGCTCCAAAACCTGAAAAAAAAATTTTCGTCAAGGGCAGTGGTGGCCAAGGTGAAAGAGACGCTAAAGAGACCCCCCATTGGATTCAAATTTAAACCGAGGCACACAGAAATAATTATTCATGAGTGAAAACCTCTCTTCCCCTAGGCTAAAGGTTTGAGTTCGCCGTTAACATATTTTAGGGCCTGTTCACAAGGAGGTGGGCAACCCCATGTAGCTAAGGTAACCCGCTTAGGTGGAGTAACCTGCCTGTCCATATAATCTCTCATTTTAATTTGATCACGTTTACATGATGACTGGGGTGACCCTCCACATGTTATCTCACCTATATGGGGTCCCCTACCTCCATGTACATGTGGCGGGGTGAAAAAAGCCGGTCGAAAGATACAGCTGTAGGGAGATGTAAAAAAAGAATAAGTTTTTCAATCTTGCTCTCTACTTTGCTTGGAAGCTGAGTGATATCATGTTTATTTTAATTATCACTTTCCGAGTATTACCACAATTCCCATACATTTACCATAAGACTGCCATCAGGTGATAGTTTACCCAAAAAGAAAAGTGTGGGCAAGCGTTCTGTTAGGTGAACAGATATCACCGTGATTAAGTTCATTCAATGTTTCAAATAAACAAAAATCGACAAAAATTAATGCAGACGCAATGGATCGTGTTTAAAAACAAAAAGATTTCACGTTGTAATCTTCCGCTTCGTGTATCTTAATCTCACTTAGATCTGCGTACCTGAATATCGTCTAGCTGCTCCTGTACTTCCATGACTGTAGACCCAACAGCAGTAAAGTTGTGCAACGATTCCTCATCCAGCTCATCCAATGCCTTTTCACAAGTTTCTAGTGATGCGTTAAATTCTGTCGAGGACTCTTGTTGAATCCTACCCGAAGGAATGAGTATTTGNTTAATCTCACTTAGATCTGCGTACCTGAATATCGTCTAGCTGCTCCTGTACTTCCATGACTGTAGACCCAACAGCAGTAAAGTTGTGCAACGATTCCTCATCCAGCTCATCCAATGCCTTTTCACAAGTTTCTAGTGATGCGTTAAATTCTGTCGAGGACTCTTGTTGAATCCTACCCGAAGGAATGAGTATTTGAATGTAATTACTGAATGTAACAACTATACAAGTGACATCTCTTTTGTTCGTCAAGAATCTTTTTTTTTTCTTATTTACTTTATTTACGATTTAATGTTCCGTCCATATACTGTGTCGAAGGTTGTGTGTTCAGCTTCAAAATAACCTTTTCGAAACTGATTTAGGAGCCAGTCAGTCAGTCTTATTTCTAAGTGCGTGAGACTCTCTAAAGAGACCTTCCTGAGGTTACATTCCACTCTGCTTGCTTACCTTTCCTTCTCGCTGACTGTTTTTGATGCAGTGCCAGGTCGCGCAAGCTTCTTGATGGATTTCATTGAATCTGTTATTTTGTGTTTATTGGTCTTATCTTCATCTTTGTGAAAAGGTGAGATAACCTTGCGTGGCGGCTAGAAAAATGGGGAAAAAGTTACGAAGTAGATCAGCAATTTCAAATAAGTCTGTTCAACGAAGCATTTTCTTTAGCCATACTTTCCCTTCTGGGGAAGAACAACAGAAAAATAATAACGGGTTCGGCTTAGCCGTTTCATTAAATTGCAGTACCATGAGGTTTGGTTTGACAGTAACTTCCACGATCTGAGTTTCCTTCTTTTGGTCAGGCATATTCTTCAGCGCATGAATCCTACTGTACAATCTGTATAAGAAACAGAAAGGTAGAACCTTTTACTTTTTATCAACAAATTGTGATTAATTACCATGAAGCTTAACGATTGCAAAGGACATCCTGAAGGAAAGTGGCGCTGGCTAAAAAGATCGCAGTTCTGGGAAAGAGAATGATTCTCAAATTAACAATGATAGGGTTACACTAATCAATATTCACCGGCGATCATGGTGATTAAAGCAATCCGATTGGTACGCTCTCTCGGGTATTGAGCTTAAAAATCTAAATTAATTAAGGAGAAAAAAACAAAAGTTGCTTTCGAAAATTCTACGCGACGACAACTAAACAAAGAAAAGTTACCAAACACAAACAACGCTCGCCTCGACCCGAGCCGTCATTGACAACTGGTCACGAAGAGAAACTTCGGTTTTTGGCGAGAGGCAAAACCACCAATTTCTTTTCTTTCTATTTCTCTGGCAATTCCTTCCAAAGTGGTTACGCTATAGTTCGCAAAAGGATTAAAACTTTTCCTACGTTAGTCATGTTTGAATATTCTGTAAAGGTCGAACTCTTGCTCCTATATATGTTCACCGCTACATAAGTAGGTATTTCTCACGTAAATATCATCCAATCAAATTGATTTTTAATGGTTTTCTCTCTGGCACTCTTGGAATCAGTGTGTATACTAAAGCCACTGTTCTTTTCAGTCTAGGTGAATTATGGCGTTAGGACTAAAAAACGTTAAACATTTTCAACATCTCGTTACAAAGCACACTACACTTGACCATTGCTCTCTCAAAGATATTGACAGTGCTACGCACTTTTATTTGAATGGTCCAACTTAGATGCAAAGGACCATACTCTTATTTGATATTAGTCGCTCTTACTTGCTTTGCGCTTCCTCAAGCTTTGTGCTGATTGTCGTGAATCGAGTACTCAAGGTTTCATTGATTCGTTCCACCCTCTCCGCATCTCCTTGGTCCAAGCGACCGCTGTCCAGAAGAACGTCAGCATCACCATTGATTTGTTGCAACTGAGGTTTTCGGCTTTGACATTCCTTTATTTTTTCCTGGTTTATCATATTCAACATAAAAATTAATTTACAAGTGAAAACAAAATTAATAGGCCATTTGCACGATGGCGTCATCTTACTACTATGACCAGGATCCATCGGGGTTTTGCTTTCTTAATGTGCAAATTAGGGCTTTTAAGCCTCACTAGGGCTTCCAAATTTAAATATGAAAAGAAAAACGAAAAGAATTCTGGTCGTAGTAGTAAAATAACGCCATCGTGCAAATGGCCTGTTGAGGACTTTATAATTATATGCAAAATGCCGCTATTGTTTGTTACAAGCATTTAGGAAGAAACCCAGGGGAAGAAATCAGCAACTATTGAACAATGTTTAATTTCTAAATGAAATCAACTATAACAAGCCTGTTCCGAAAATAAAGTAGCGACTTCAAATGGTGACGCTGCCAACCAATCCAAAGAAGGTTGTGAGACTGTCTAAAACACACGAATTATTTAGAAGAGGAACTGAGTTAAACACAAGTAGTATTTTTCTTCCTTTTTTAATCCAAAATAGCAAAGTGACTGTAGAGAAACAAAGAAAGACAAAATTACCTGAACTGTGGGCAATTTTTCTTTCACTTCATTGACAGTGATTTCGTTACCGACCTCTGCGTTAGAAATATTTTCTGTAGAATCAAGCCATGGACGAAGGGCGTCGCATTTTTGATACCACTCGTTCAGTTTCCGGTACTCGTGATCAACGTCCAATCCCAATGACTCCAGACTGAAAACGAAAGAATCATTTGGTCGGTTTGCCACTCGTAAAATGAGCGTCATTTTACCATAGCAGCTTGACTCGAAGTGCTTAGTTAATCATTTAATGGAAAAAAAANAAATTAATAGGCCATTTGCACGATGGCGTCATCTTACTACTATGACCAGGATCCATCGGGGTTTTGCTTTCTTAATGTGCAAATTAGGGCTTTTAAGCCTCACTAGGGCTTCCAAATTTAAATATGAAAAGAAAAACGAAAAGAATTCTGGTCGTAGTAGTAAAATAACGCCATCGTGCAAATGGCCTGTTGAGGACTTTATAATTATATGCAAAATGCCGCTATTGTTTGTTACAAGCATTTAGGAAGAAACCCAGGGGAAGAAATCAGCAACTATTGAACAATGTTTAATTTCTAAATGAAATCAACTATAACAAGCCTGTTCCGAAAATAAAGTAGCGACTTCAAATGGTGACGCTGCCAACCAATCCAAAGAAGGTTGTGAGACTGTCTAAAACACACGAATTATTTAGAAGAGGAACTGAGTTAAACACAAGTAGTATTTTTCTTCCTTTTTTAATCCAAAATAGCAAAGTGACTGTAGAGAAACAAAGAAAGACAAAATTACCTGAACTGTGGGCAATTTTTCTTTCACTTCATTGACAGTGATTTCGTTACCGACCTCTGCGTTAGAAATATTTTCTGTAGAATCAAGCCATGGACGAAGGGCGTCGCATTTTTGATACCACTCGTTCAGTTTCCGGTACTCGTGATCAACGTCCAATCCCAATGACTCCAGACTGAAAACGAAAGAATCATTTGGTCGGTTTGCCACTCGTAAAATGAGCGTCATTTTACCATAGCAGCTTGACTCGAACTGCTTAGTTAATCATTTAATGGAAAAAAAATTGACAGACTAAGACTTATAAACATAGCTCAGTGATAAAATATCACATCGCACCATGTTTAAATAATGCTTACAAGTTTTTTTTGAGATGCAGTTACATAAGGGAAAGTAATAAATATTAATTTAAACATTAGAAACAAACAGAAAAACATGCCCCGGTTAACTTTCTTTTTTCAAATTAGCATGATTGTCTCTGATAGATTTTACTTCAGCACTCAAGATGCCTTTGAGACATTTGTATGCAGGTTTGTTTTCTTCAAAAGAAACCACGGATCGTTAAAAGATCCCAGATTTCTTTAGGAGAAAAAGATTATTTTCAAATTCATTGATTATCCACTAATAAAAACCAAAGGAAATTCTATGCAAGTAATTAGTGTTTGCCCTTTTGGAAAACTTGCTGTTATTGCATCGATATTTTTCCTTTTAAATCATACTGTTTGAGAGGTTATATCGGAACTCAAGCTTGAAGATTGATGTTTGCTCAAACTATCAAGTAACCTAACGCTCGATAGTTTGTCGGAAATACTCTTCGACCCCGTCGCAACTTAACTGCTTTTTAGGTACAGTGTTTGAAATGTGACGAGACATTGCAGTGTCTTGTATTCGATATAAATTTTAAAAAGCAAATAAAAACTGACCTGTTGCTATTGTTAATAACCTTCAAATTAAGTGAATTCCAGCGACTCGACAGATTGTGTAGACCTTTGGTTAGTTCATCATTTTGATTTGAGTCCTGCATTTGGCATATTTTATACACCAGTTTCGACAGCTCATCTGCTGGGTTGATTTGCAGGATGATGTCGTCTATTAGTACCTGAAAAAAAAGATTATAGCATTTTCAGATACGCTGCATATTTTATTCAAAATGAATTTGGAAATAGAGGAGCAGGAGAGGAGAAAAATCCGGAGTTTCCAGGGAAAAACCCCTTGGGGGAGGGAGGGGGAAGCGAGGGAGTTAATGAATTATGTAAAAAAAAAATTCAAATATTAATCATTAATTCAACGCTCTATTGCCTAAGGCACATTTGGATTGAACGGGTTTTCTCGTATCCCTGCAATAATTTAATTACCATGACCACTAATACTACAATTAGCCTTCTTTCTCTATCTAAAAGGTAAAAAAGGCAGATTTCAAACAATTATTTTTCTAACCTGAGATCAGGCTCTATTTTCGTTTCGCTTTGAAAATTACATTCCGGTGGGCAAGGCGAAACGAAAAGAGAACCTGATACGAACCTTTAACGAAATGTCTGCCGCCCACTTTTTTGATTGATTGACATTTGCCGAATCAGTCAATCAGAATTACTTCCGTTGCTTGTTTTTCTAGTATGCAAATTTTTCACGCGTGGGAAAAATGCAGACTGGCTGACTTAAAAAATAGCTTTTATCTGTTAATTTTTTCAGCTAAAAATAAAACAGTCAGCACAATCACATTTAACATCTTGCGAGATTAAGGAAGATCTCGAAGGTTACTTCTGTTGGCGTAGAAGGTAAAATGTTTTCGAAAAGACGGCGACACGATGTTCTACTAGTTTTATTATTTTGGCTAAGCGCTCTGGAATTTAAAATACTGAAATCTCTATTTTTCCGTTGTCTTGATATTTTCCTCGGCAATTTCCCCCGATTTTCAGTACATAAATCTTTAAAAACAAAAGCAAACAGCCAACGAGCGAGGACACCAGTTTTCTTGGTTTATTTTTAACAAAAAGCGTAGTCAAACAACCAGTCTGTGAACACTGAAAATTCCTTGAACAGCGATGCGATATTTTCGTCTAATACTTCACAGTTGGCGATGAGGTTTCTTTCGCAGTGAGCCTCCGCTTGCGTACCCCGTTCAGAGAAGTCATTCCCGGCTAAACTTTCAAATGAACCAGTTTTAAGATGGACAGTATTTTGATTTGCACCCGTTTGTTGGTAAATCAAAATGCACCTTGTTAGCGGTCAACAACTAGCAGAGAGATTCAACTCCGCGATACACTCACTTTCCGTAAATAAAGCAAATCCTGAGAAGATATGAACAACCACATGTATTTTCTGAATTTCCATGGCACATATTAAGGCATATTTTCCTACCATAAGACCATAAAACAGTAAAAAAAGACAGCAAAATCGATCCTTCTCTCCACCGACGAAGGATCATTCACGAAAGCAACCACGCGAGGAATAAGCGCTTTCAACTTCCGGCATTTCCGACAGCCAATCAGATCTTGTGGCATTGTTCTAACAGCCAATCAGCGTTACGGCCAAAATCTGGCCGTAACGAGCACAAACTTGAATAGTTTGTATCAGGCCCAATTTCAGCGGTAGCCGTTAGAGAGAATGTATGAGAACCGCTCAAATTGGGCCTGATCTCAGGTTATTATTTTTCATGTGCTCTACATAAGAGTTTTTTGTATTTTGGCTTTTATTTTCCTTCATTAAAAGGTGGTACAGTAAATGTAACAGATAACACATAAAGTAATACAGAGGCATTAAGACACCGTTTAGATGACTAATTGCGAATGGAAAAAGGGATAACACTATAAGTATTGACTCTCAAACTGGGAAAAGTTACAGCTAATATAAACTCAAAACACGCGATGTTTCTTTTTGTTCAGATTCTCTAATTATAAAATAATTTATCCTGACCTGGTAGTCATCTGTGTCGCTAACGAGCTGGTTTAACTGAATATGGCTCCCGCGGACTTTCTTTTTGGCCCATGAAGGTAGGGCTTCCTTAACCGAGAAAATGAAAGAGATCTTCTTTTGCTTCCTGTGTTTCTGAATCTCTTTTAACTTCTCCGAGGTCCTGACAATGAAACAAATGAAATAAACATCACTAAAGCAAAGATGAGCCCACCGTCCAACAAAATGACCAGTAGAAGCCTTGAAAATCACGTGATCTCGGCTGAACACGCCATACAGTCAGGTAAAAGAGAATAATTGGACAGAGAATGAATCTTAGGGCGTTGACCGGGATATGGGAATTTCTCTTAAGGTAATTTAAGAAGTTGTAAATAAACGAAAGTCTAATTCAAGAGACGTCCGCACATCTTACATCAAGTCCACGCGCTACTGCCTCAAAGCAAACAACCGACGCAGAATAGTAAAAGTGACTGTTGAATTCTCTCGTGACAACACTTATCTCAAGGTCTGGATCAGGCACTAATAAGTCACAATTAACAGGTGGTGGCATCTGTAACCTAATCCAATAAAGGTTGCTTTGGGCATTGGGCAATTGCGTATTGGGAAGCTATTGTTTGGAGGTCACTCCGGTAGTTTCCCACGCAGAGAGGCTTTGCGGGACGAGACACTCGAGCAAGTCTTTGCAGTAAGTTCTGCATGCCTAAATGACCCTACATGCGCAATTGCCAAAGACAAATTTCCAAAGCAACGTTCATTAATTAAGATATTATTACGGTCATTACCTCGTTAACTTTCTTTTTCCATCATTCAAATATGGCTGCCAATCAAGTAAGGTACTGTCACTCTCTGCCTTAGACATGACCGTGCCAGAGGATTGTTTGTCCTAAAGAAAAAAATATTTACTTCTTATACACCGATTTTATAATATTTGCAATATGGGAAATGAGGGAAGCCTTTAATCCTATGTCCTGACCACCAGAAGTACTCGTAGAACAGCTATCACTGTATAAGCTAAGAGTAGTTAGACAAGCCAGTTACTAATTATATTTAATACAAAATAAAATGATAAAGGCATAGGCTCTAAGATGTGGCCAGGAAACTTTAATGTCTTTCCTAGCGGCTTTAAGATGCCGACAAAAAACGTAGACCATTTCGGTACTGTCAGCATCAGTTTCTGTCTCATTTTTCTCTACGCCTTTTTCTTTTCACTTCGTTCGTAATTTTCTTTTTTTTTTATATTTTTTTTTGTTTCTTTTTAGTCCTGATCAATGTTAATTTAGCAGCGTCAAGTTCAGGTTATAAAGTTGCTTCTCCCGTTTCCTTTCTTTTTTTCTTTTTTTTAAATTTTTTTAAAAATTTTTTCGATAATGCAGCAATGAATCTGAATATATATCCTTCCGTTAATGTTCATTAAAAGGACCCTTATAATGTGTTCTCTAAGAGCTAATGTTAACTCACCATCCATTTTAGAGATTCACATTTCTCGGCTCGATCTTCGAGACCTCTTAGCGTCCGGCTGAAGGCCACAGCTTTTTTCTTAAACTCCTCGGCCATGTCATCAGTACTTAATGAAACAAATACAACGAACATAACAGTAAAAGTAAGTAAGTAAGTTAGTCCCAAAATATATATCTGCGAGGACGAGGGTTAGTAAAAAAACCAGGGCGTTAAACCTGACACAAAAGGAAGCTTAAGCAAGCACGTCAATTAAGAAGAGAGAACTACCCCTTTCCCAGGCTTCATCTTAATAATTCCACCCCGTTCAATCTGTCAAATGTTGACAGATTTTAGTGTTAAATTCTTAACCCTTTAAGCCCTAAGAGTTATCAGTACCAAATTTCTCCTTGTAATATCAATGCTTTGTAAAACAGAGTGGTCATGAGAATTACGGACATGATCACACAAGATGAATTTGCTTGATGTCTTATCAACTTCTTCCCACAACTTCTGTAGCAAATAAATAGGAACAGCAAATGAGAATTCAAATTTTGATCTTAGGGATAAAGGGTTAAGGCTATGTTCACACTATACCGGATAGCGCTTACTCCGGCATGAAAACCATACTGGATAGGGATTCTGGTACCACACAAAAGAATGGTGATTTAGGCGCGATTTCTGTAACGGAGCGAAGCTGCACCACGCTAATCTCGAAAGTGGAGCGCCACATATCGGATAGGTTCTGTGCCACACATCGGTGTAGTGTGAAGGGGTTGTTGGACCGTTGCGAAAGTGAATAAATAGGGGCGAGGACCGGACAACTCTAAGATGGAAGTAAATATTCAAGATCGAGGATCGGGATTTAGTTTATCGAACCCTCTCCGCGAACTGCTCCGGCACGATGTTCGATTTGGTTAACGACTTAGGTTTTACGGGATTCGGGATTTTCCATATTTGAAGCTCGGTATTCCGGATTTAAAAGCAAAGACGAGGCGAGATTCGGGATTGAAAGTATGCGCGGGAGGTGGAACACCAAAAATAACCCGGGGGATTACGGGATTGAAGGACCCGATTGGGGACCCTCGTTGCTGTTCATACTCTGATACCGGATAGCTTTTTGTATCGGTTCGAAAAGCCATCCGTTCTTGGGGAAAAAAAAACAAAGATAAGTACCTCAAACCTTATATAAAGGTCACCTTGTGAATGGAAACTTTGTAATTAAAAATTATACCTCGAGCCCGAATGGGCTGTGAATCAATAGCCCATGAGGCCGAAGGTCGAATCGGCTTTTGACTCAGAGGCCATGAGGGCGAGAGGAATAATTGTTTTAATAAAATCCAACAAGTTGGTCAAAAATATCGAGAATAAAAAAAATTTAGCTAGTTGAAGCTAGACTTTAATCCTTTTTTGCCGCCAAAAAGCCCGCGCTTTTCGCTACTAGTGGGCTGTATAACATGTGTATAGCCTAGTAGTAGCTCAACCAATCAGAACGCAGCATTAATAATAGACCACTAGCTGGATTTTACTAAGCGAAGTTATCTTTGCAAGTTATGCTGTAAATTTATTACTTGTCAAAGATAGGGAGCTATAACCCCCCAAACCCTCGCAATTTTGGATTTAGTATTCAAGGTTTCAGTGCGTTACAAATTTAATCTAACAGCCTCAAAGGAAAATATAGAAACTACAAGAAGAAAATTCAAGTGCTTCCATTAGGAAGCATACATGTACACAGTGGAAATCGGATTTTGATTGCTACAAATCCGCATGAATTCATACCCTTTCACGGTTAAGTGGTTCAATGGCTCGCGCCATTTAAACAAATTATAAACATCACGTTTTGTATTGAGAGTTGAATTGGTTTTTATCTAACTCCAAAGAAAAAAGAGCTGTTCTTTCTGAAACAGAATAAAGTGTTTTAAACCAACAAAAAAGGAAAACGAACACCAGATCTTGTACTGTGACTGGTAAATTGAGTGACGTATATTCTAGAATGTCATTTAACCAAATTTAAAGAATATATATCTTTAGCCAGTGGCATTCCATTGAGCCAATTTTCGGGGACTTCAACTGGGAAAGAGAAATATTAAAATAAAATAGTTCCCAACACAACGAATGTACTCATTGAATATGAGGTGTCATTACGTGGGCACTTTAACAACACCCAGTAATATGTTTGTTCGCTACGACATTTCCTTGATTGAAGTGTGCAATGAGTGCATCAAAACTTATATACACAAAGAGCCCGAGAGATTTCCAAAACATACATTGCTAGGGTTTTATGACTTTTAAAATCTTCGAACATAAAAATTTTTTAAGACTATATTTTATTTTACACTATAGGGCTATGCAACGTAGATTTTGTACAAGTCTAATGTGATTGCGAACTGACGGCACACCTTTGGATGATATGCTAAGAGCGAATAACTTAAATACAGTGTTGAGTCGTCTCTTTGAAGCTCCAAATTAAAATTAGACTTGTTTCTTTGTAAAAGAATAAGCAACTAAATTTGGAACTCAGGCGTATGATAGAGGTTTAATCGTAGGATTAATAACGATATTATGTGGCAGTTTCACGATTGTCAATGCACTATATTTTTCGGTGGATACTTGTTTATTGTTTTACACAATTCATGCACCATTTCCCTACAACTCACTGTCTTTAAAATACTCAAACCTTGTAACTGGCTTACCTGCGAACTTTGTATTTCTGCGATGTCATATTGCAATTGGTCCTTCTTGGCCAAGAATGTGGCTATTGCAAGAGTAAGGATACAAAGCGTAGTGGCGACTAGTATATATTTGCATAACGGGACTATATGAACAAAAGAAAACAATAGATTCCTTTGTAGTATGTTTATTGTTTTCAGTTTCAAAGAATTCAACCTTATTTTGTAGCACACAATACGGATGAGTGATTTTCTTAAGCCATAGAATATTCTCTGTTGGTGTTGCTAAAATTAGTCTGATTTTTCGTCGAATACCACACAGAGGAGGGGACAGAGGATTTTGGGGAAACCGTAAATTTTTTTTTGAAAGGAAAAAAGGGGGATGGTAGAAGTTTCACAAGACAGATAGAGAGGAAGTCAAACCTTTTTAAAGCGCTAATTTGTAACATCACTACCTGATAAACCATTATGCAAGCCAACGGCCCTTTCCAAGTTCAAGTTGATTACAAGTTAGAACCATTTACTAGAAAAAGAAATATCATCATCATCAACGTTCCTTTACTAGCTCCTATATCCTATTAATAACATTTTAGATTATTCTTCTTCGTTCTCTTCTTCTTCTTCTTTGAGGTTATAGTTGTAATGCGTCCGTCCTTGTTTACAAACAATGACATTGCCTACAGGAATAACAATTGTCTCCCACGCAGGATAGGCAAATCGCGCAACTGTCGTCAGTGCACAAATCGCTGCAAAGTTCCCATGAATTATTTTGCTCGTGATCGAATTGGCTTTGACTTAGGGTTCGCACCAACATTGTAAATCACAAGCTTCTGTCGCGTGACAAATTTCGCGATGAACTCCCCCCTTTTACAGGCCAGTTGCTTCATGTGTATTAGCCACGTAGAATAGTTCCCTTCGACTTCCTCTAATGCACTTCCTATACAACTTCCTTTAGTTTTAATTCTTTTAATTATTCGAATAATTATTAATTACTCATGTATCAAAGAATGGAAATCAGTGTCAGTTTAACAAAGGAAAATTGATATCTGCTAGGGGACCTGTGAATGGCTGTGATGACATCGGAGAGTAATTTTTTGCGGATTGACGATTTTTGGTGTTTTGCCCGAACTACAGCTTTTGCGATAAGGCCAGTGTAATTTTGTTTGCAGGGAATTAATTTTTGCGATTTTCAAGAAGGCAGGACTGACAATAAATAACTTCAATAACTAACCTATAGACAAATATTAAGATCTAAAAGACTTCGATGCAATAACCGGCCTTTAGTATAGTTACTACTCTTATCTTTTGTTCAAGGGCTAGGGTCGGGTCCCCGAATACCGACAAGGAGGACACAAAATATTTATTTTCTGGAAATTTGGACGGTCTTTCAACTCGTTTGCTAGTAAATAATAAAATATGCACGATAGTACACAGTTTATAAATTTGACAGATTAAAGGCAATCAAAATATCTCGATGCAGAGTAAAAGCAGGAGCTGGTCATTTTTAGACATGTTTATTATCTTGCCATGTTCGTTTAGTGCAAAGTATCTCAAAATTAAATTATTTACAATTAACGGCACAATTTGACTGAAAAGTAAAGAATAGTCAAATAGTCAAATAAATGGAATCTACAGAGTATTAAAGTAAACTCATCATATGAAAGGTTTGAACCCAGGAATCATTTCAAAAGTACGTTGAGTTTTGACCAATAACAACGCGACGTAATTGACCAATCAGATCAATGACCAGAGTATAATGCCATCAACTGACGTGATACAACTCACTTTGACCCTGAAGATGACTACCACACAGGTTGTCGAAACGTCAGTCACTGTCAACAACAACAGTCGATCAAACTCAACCTACTTTTTTTAAATTCATCATATTCAGTAATGTCACTGCTGTTTTCCTGATTTAGTAAATATTTCTTTTCATTCAAGTTTTCATCCAATCATTTATCATTCATTCATGCATTTACTTATTCACTGAGTTCATTGAGATAATTTCCTCGTGATTTATTTATTTAATAATCATTCACTTGTTCAATTTATACCAACTAACGGTATTGTTTAGTGAGTTATTTCAATTTTCGGGTGGTTTGCTTGCCACTGGCTCATCTCCCTTTTCGCAGTAGTAGCCATCCAACATTGACTTGGAGTCTGTGGGAGGCTTTTGGGGGCAATCAGTGCAAGTCTTATCCCTCCAGTCTTTCCTGTAGGTGTTTCCAGTACAGCATCCGAAGGCAAATTCGTCCTTTCGGTAAACTAATACTCGTTTTTTGTTGGGCCTAGGGAGGAATCGGAGCTTCACTTTTCCAATGAGAAGAAGATCTGTGGCGGGATTCGGAGCATTCCAGGTCAGGTCTCTATCGCCCGTCTCTACCGTGTAACTAAGCTTCCATGTTGAAAGAATAGTGGGCATAATACTCTTTGTAAGTGGTGGTACTCTCGTGTTTGTGTCACAGACCTTGGGGAGATTGTTACAGAGGCTGTAAGGGTTGACAATTTCTTTTCCATTTGGGCATCTATCGTAACCTTCGCTATATATGGTAAGGTAGTTGCTGTCCTCAAACGGAAGGTTGTACACGATATCGGCGTTTTCAGTGAACGCGCTGCCAGCCACAGATGTTAATTGAATTCGGGTTCTCGAGTGCTGTTTTTCATCGCCCTCTTTATACTCCCTGAGAGGAAGATACAACTTGAAGCTTTCCACAAAAGGAGCCAGCTGTTCTCCACGCGCCAGCCAGTTATACTTTCGCAGCAGTTCTCTCTTTGCAGGTACCCGGAAGGTAACAGATTCCCCTCTTGCGAGGCTTGGCAGATTGATAAAGCCGATGTCACCAACGAACTGAGGACGTGTCGGTATGTAAATAAATCGCTCATCCACATCGTACGTAGTATCAGGATTAAAGGCGACAAGGGTATTCAAACTGTGTTCAGTAAAAAACCCAGTAGAGGAGCATGCCCCTATTTCAGTGCCTTGATTTAGATATTCCAGTTTATCACAATACAACGCTGCGTGGGACTGAAGCCGATACTGAGTCATAAAGAACCCCACCATGAGCTTGCTCGCATCTAACAGATCATTGGATACTGTGATTGACTCGGCTAACTTCTTGGCAACGATGCCACGAACAACGCGGGCTAAGGCATCAACCAGGTCAAACTGAAAATCAAATATATTCTCTCTGAGTGCAGCAAACTCGGCTAGCGTTCCTTCCAGATTTTCACACAGCAACATTCCTCCTACGACACCCTGACTCACAGCAGCTCCGACTCCTTGTGCGTTGAACAGCAGGTCGCAAGTCGATGCTTTGAACGCAGCCCATAAAGCATCATTTTTAGCCAGCTGCGATCGATTAACCTTGGGTGTGTATGCTCCATATGCCTCGACAAACTTATCTGCATCAAACCCAATTTGGTCAATCTTATTTTCCTTTATGGCATTTACCATGACGTCGAGATTTGAGATCTGGTTTGCGTTCTCTTGAAATGACTTCGCCAGAGCCGAAGTATCGTCATAAACTTGGTAGAGATTGGCCATTAGAGCAGAACCTCTTGCAAGCTCTTGAACTGCTCTAGCAACTTCCGCTGTTTGCTCATACACTTCTCCTGCCTCAACGCCACTAAAAAATACTTTTAAAGGATTCATCTGTTGTGCAATTTTTAGTCCGAGAATAGTACTTTCTTCAATTACTTGAGCCGCTTGCGTTACTAATAAGGCTGTCATTGCAGCTTTTACATCTTTTTCGAGCTTCTCTGACAGCGTGGTAGCCTGTTTATCAAATTCTTTCAATTTGTCAGAAAGGAATGTGACGTCGGCTTGTGCAATGCCTTGATCGTATTCTGCAAGACCTTTGAAATAATTCGAAATTCCCTTCACTGCTGCACGCAGATTTTCGTCTAGTTTTCTGATGTTTCCTAGAAGCTCGATATGTTTCAAGGCGTTTTGCTTAAGCTCAATCATCTTGGCATGATCAATTTTGGAATAAAGACGCAAGTTACGGGTTTGAGGAGGATTTAGGAGATCGTTTTTTATTTTCTTCAACGATTGATATTCCTTGTGAATGCTGCCAACATCACACATGTCTTCCGCTTGCAGCTCACTACAGGCTAAGGAAACAAAACCAAGCGCGTTTTCCCTCTTTTGTACTAATTCCATCGCCTTTTCTAGGTTGGAAAAGGCGTTCACAAATACGGCTGTCGTGAAAAAGTCTTTCCAGTAAAAGGTGCTTCCGTACGCCATGATCAAATTTGCCATCTTTTGAATGTCTTCAAGTCTTCGTAGTATTGCAGTTTCGTCAGGTTGGCCGAGGGAATTGCTGCAAAAGCTTTTTGCTATAAAGTCACTTATCTTGTACCAAAGTAAGGCCCCCATCATTGGAATTGCTTTCTCTATATCACATTTGTTGTCCTTCGTGCAAGCATCTTTGGCGTTTGTGCCATCAGTGTCCCCATAAGGAAAAGCCGTCTCAACTCCAGAGCATTTTTTTACACTTTTACAAATCTTTGCCGTGGAGAAGACGAATGTATCTTGTTTCCCTACATCCTCTTTAACTCTTGAGCACATAGTTTCTATTGGTAAGGACTTTTGGCTTGGCTTCTTTGGAGGAGGTGAGAGTAGAACAAGCAGACAACGATAATCATAAGAAGCCCTCATCGTCCTTAAGATAAAGCCAAGACCACGAGTTTCATAATTTCGTTTTAGTTTTTTGCTCGCAAAAAATTTGGTCACAATAGGTTCTTCGGGCTCTTTGAAAAGTTCTCTCAATATGTTTTTGTTAGTTTCCACGATTGATAGATCGAGATTATCTATTCCTTTCAGTTGACCCGGGACGCTTTTTAGTACAGAGATTAGATCTTCAATCTTCTTGGAATCCATACTTTTCTTGACGTCTTGGAGATTGGCAATGTAGGAATCTCTTACCTTGAGGACTTCCAGAAGTTTCTTGGCCCAGTTCGGATCGCGCTCAATTCCATTAACCCCAAGAAAAACCACAAGAATCGCGACGATAACGGACTTAGCTGTGACCATTCTGGTCGGATGTCGGGTAATTAACTGTCACCAGTCCACTTTTAAAGATATCTGCAATTAATAAAATTGATTAACGACAAGAATTCGAAACGAGAGAAAAATAACACTGTAGCTGACTTCATTCTCTAAGATGAAGCTTTTTCGTCAAATTGGGTAGGTTCAAGTCTATCTTAGAATCATAGGAGTTAAAGATTATGGGGTTGAGTTCGTTTTTCTTTTCGTTCGGTTGAGTCGAGGAATTTGGCAAATGTCAATGGAGTTTGTGGACCAAAAAAACACCACGTTTGCGTTAATTTACGGGATCTAAACGCTAGTAAAAATTTCAACAATTTATATATGACAAAAAATTCTCGAATAGCATAAAAGAGACACAAAAGACTAACGCGTCACCAAGTCGCTCGCAAGCTATGGGAGAGTCATTGTGACAATAGGACCTTCCGATCCGACAACAGCGACGCCAATGAAAACGTTACTGTATAGTAGACTTCGCGTTGTTTAAAACTTTTTCGCCCTTATACAAATTCACCCAGTTACTTGAAAGGAGGAAAGTTAGGTTGGAACTGAAGAGAAGGGACCGCGTCCTAGTTTTAGTAAAATTTATCGCCTTGCCGTTCCCGTTCTCAAGTCAACTCAAAATTTGGTCATTTAACGTTGTAGTTGTGCAGGGACGGCAAATAAATGTACACAAAAAGCGTGATGCACGTGCAGAGTTGTTTTTTTGTTCATTAAATTTAGTGCTTTTTTGACGTTCCCATTACCGTCGCTGTCGTAGTTTCGTTAGGTCCCTAAGGATGTAAGAGGACCGAATGACGAGAAATTCTAGCATACAGGACAACCGCGATGTCATTAAAGTATAAAGTCGACTCTTTGTTAACGGGACACCTCTGCAAGACTGCCTTTAATTGACAAGACACTGCCTGCCCCAAGTATGTACGTCTTAAAAATACTTGACGGTAGTAAGCAAGCGATGAATTGCTTCTAAAGCTCGATGTTACCGCCTTTTCTTACTTCAGATGATATACTTAAATTTATCGATATTTTTTTCCGAAACTAAAACGTGAAAAGCAAAAGGAAAGTAAATAAGTAAGTATTGAAAGAACCTTACATTATGTTATTTAGAATACCTTTAAGAAAGGTCTACAAAATGAGTTGAATTACATATGTATTTTGCTGAATCCAAAGCAATGAGGTCTATAAAAAAGTTTTATCATTTACTGTATGAAAAACTGTGGCGACAAGGAAAAACTGAATGGCGAAAATTGCTGACAGTCATTAGTGTTTGTAGTTCTAGCGGTCTTAAAGAAATAAATTAAAGGAAGCATTCGATTCAGTTGAAGAGGACAGAGAAAGGTTAGCATGTACTACCTTATAAAGATCCTCCTGTAGTTTTTACAAACTTCCTAGAGAATTCTTCACTCTCAGTCAAGTACACTGTGATCAACTGTGCTTGAGGAAAGAAAAGTGGACCTTAACGAGAAATGAAATCCCTATTCTATGCTCCAATAAATGAACACTGACGTCATTGGCACAATGTTTATGTCATTTTATTTGTTCTTCTTTGGTGGCAAAGAGGTGAATTGGCAATGTAGGAATCTCTTACCTTGAGGACTTCCAGAAGTTTCTTGGCCCAGTTCGGATCGCGCTCAATTCCATTAACCCCAAGAAAAACCACAAGAATCACGGCGATAACGGACTTAGCTGTGACCATTCTGGTCGGATGCCGGGTAATTAAATGTCACCAGTCCACTTTTAAAGATATCTGCAATTAATAAAATTGATTAACGACAAGAATTCGAAACGAGGGAAAAATAACACCGTAGCTGACTTCATTCTCTAAGATGAAGCTTTTTCGTCAAATTGGGTAGGTTCAAGTCGATCTTAGAATCATAGGAGTTAAAGATTATGGGATAGAGTTCGTTTTTTTTTTCTTTCGGTTGAGTCGAGGAATTTGGCAAATGTCAATGGAGTTTGTGGACCAAAAAAACACCATGTTTGCGCTAATTTACGGGATCTGAACGCTAGTAAAAATTTCAAAAATTTATATATGACAAAAAATTCTCGAATAGCATAAAAGGGACACAAAAGACTAACGCATCACCAAGTCGCTCGCAAGCTATGGGAGAGTCATTGTGACAATAGGACCTTCCGATCGGACAACAGCGACGGCAATGAAAACGTTGCTGTATAGTAGACTTTGCGTCCTTTAAAACTTTTTCGCCCTTATACAAATTCACCCAGTTACTTGAAAGGAGGAAAGTTAGGTTAGAACTGAAGAGAAGGGACCGCGTCCTAGTTTTAGTTTTCCGTTCTCAAGTCAACTCAAAATTTGGTCATTTAACGTTGTAGTTGTGCAGGGACGGCAAATAAATGTAGAAAAAAAGCGTGATGCACGTGCAGAGTTGTTTTTTTGTTCATTAAATTTAGTGTTTTTTTGACGTTCCCATTACCGTCGCTGTCGTAGTTTCGTTAGGTCCCTAAGGATGTAAGAGGACCGAATGACGAGAAATTCTAGCATACAGGACAACCGCGATGTCATTAAAGTATGAAGTCGACTCTTTCTTACCGGGACAACTCTACAAGACTATCTTTAATTGACTCGTAATAAGACAGACATCACTTTTAGACACTGCCTGTCCCAAGTATGTACGTCTTAAAAATAGCTGACGGTAGTAAGCAAGCGATGAATTGCTTCTGAACAGTGCTCTGCTTTTACTCAAAACAAAGCCTTTTATGTTATGTAACTCTAACACGTTTTTGGCTAATTCTGATTTGCATGCACGTATAATAATTTTTTTAGTTCAAATGACGTTATTGAAGCTGAAATTTCGAAGAGCGGTCCGAGCAGCAACAGTTAAGATAAATTGCTTAGCAAACAGTTTAAAATCTGCGAAGCTTTTGTTTGTTTGTTTCTTTGTTTTTTCATAACTTGTGTCAGTAGACATTCCGCTGGACAATGGAGCTATACTTTTTCCAAAACAAACAACAAACACTCTCCATGACTATTTTACAAAGTCAAACCAAATTACTCTTGTTTGAAAGCTCAATGTTACCGCCTTTTCTTACTTCAGATGATATACTTAAATTTATCGATATTTTTTTCCGAAACTAAAACGTGAAAAGCAAAAGGAAAGTAAATAAGTAAGTATTGAAAGAATCTTACATTATGTTATTCAGAATACCTTTAAGAAAGGTATACAAAATGAGTTGAATTACATATGTATTTTGCTGAATCCAAAGCAATGAAGTCTATAAAAAAGTTTTATCATTAACTGTATGAAAGATTGTGGCGACAAGGGAAAACTGAATGGCGAAAATTGCTGACAGTCATTAGTGTTTGTAGTTCTAGCGGTCTTAAAGAAATAAATTAAAAGGAAGCATTCGATTCAGTCGAAGAGGACAGAGAAAGGTTAACATGTACTACCTTATAAAGATCCTCCTGTAGCTTTTACAAACTTCCAAGAGAATTCTTCACTCTCAGTCAAGTACACTGTGATCAACTGGGCTTGAGGAAAGAAAAGTGGACCTTAACGAGAAATGAAATCCCTATTCTATGCTCCAATAAATGAACACTGACGTCATTGGCACAATGTTTATGTCATTTTATTTGTTCTTCTTTGGTGGCAAAGAGGTGACTCAGGTCGGAACGATTACTTGGTCATTCAAGTATCCTTTGTAAGAAGTTTTAATTAGTTTTTCTGTTAGTATTTTGGTTTTAGTGTTTTGGAAAGGAATGCGTCAGTTGTTCATATTCTTTGGCTATGTTGCGGTTCAATGTTATCCTTGGTTTAATTTCTATTTTCTTTTGTTTTTAACTCATTATCATACATTTTGATACCCCAAAACAAAAGAAAAAAAAAATAAAATTGAACCAGTACAGCTACAAACACTAAGCTTTAACGAACACTCGCGCATTTTTACAACCCTCTTACTTTCATTATTGAGAAATAGCTTCAATCACTGACCTATGTGCCTTCTCTATAACTGATGCTTTAGCCAAATAATATCCCACATTATAAGAATAAAAAGTTCTTCTTTAGTGATATATAATAGAAGATGCTTGTTGTTATAATTTTAAGTGAATTCAAGCTTTGTTTGGGACCTTTTCTTCTTATTTTTCTTTATTCATAGTGTTTTAACCGGTCCGCCACAAAGCAGTTAATTAGTTTTAAAACAAAAATCAAATTTTCAAGTGTTCCTTCAACGTTTTTAATTAAAATTGGCCAAGAAAGAAAACACAAGCTAAAAAGCTGTTAAAAGACCCAGTAAATATATTTTTCGCTAGCTCTTTCCTTACGTTGTCATTTATCATTATTTCCTTAAATTCAAAACATATTGGGATATTTGCACGTTTTCACTAATCTTAGACCAAATGCCAAAATCACTGCTTTATTAATATTCTTTTGTTGAAATTGAATTTAGCCTGACTAGCCTCGTTCTCCAGTACAAAATTCAAAAGAATACATTATCTCAAGCGAGGCTAGTCAAGCTAATTTTAACTTCAACAAAAGAATATTAATCCAGCAACCATTTTTGCATTGGGTCTATAAGGTGAAGTAATCTATTTTAATGTCATGTGTTTTTGAATTATTGTTGTGAAACAACCAAGAATTCGTATCGCACTTTTAGAGAAGGGGAATTGGTCCATACGTGTATAATAACATTGTGATTTGGATTGTTTTAGAAATTTATAAAGTTCCTCAGTGTGAATTATATTGATATTTGGAAGAATTTTTGTTTATATTTTAGAACAAAATGAACGCTCTTCCCTTTCAAAAGATGACCTTATTCCAGGTACCGGTTCATTTTTCCAAGCTGTTGGTTTTACTAGTGAGAAAACCTGACTTGGAGCACTCTAAAAGTTAATTAAGAAGGCTACAGAAATGACATCATGCTACAGTTTATTACTTAATGAAGACTGCATTGAAGTGACTGCACAATTATTTTATCACTTGCCTTGGGGCAAATTAACAAAAACTTGAGTAATTTCCACTCCTTTACAACCGTTCTATCTTTAGGTTGAAATTTTCAAGGTAAGCCTCTCTGCAATTGTATCTTGATACTGTGTCTCGAGATTGTAATTATCTGAGCACTTGATATCTTGTGGATAAATTCCTAAGAAAAGGAGGGAAAATATCCACCTTGATGATAATTGTCTATAGGTTACCAGTAAATCTACTCTGCAAGTTTAGCTCCTTTTTTCTAGTTCCACTTCGTTGGTTATATTAGCTGTCTTATGTATCTATTTTGCTGTTACTTTGAGTAACGTGTATACAAACAAATTTCTTGTTGAAAATTTAACTCCATTTCTCACTTTACATGCGTTGAAAAGAGGCACTGTTGTGAAAAAAAAGGGGGTTGGAAATGGAGAATTGTTATGGGTTATTTGTTTGAATAAAATTAGGAGATGAAATTTTTGGGATCGAATGTACAAATACTATGAATTTTCAGAATATATTGTTTTGAAGCTTTATCTTGCTGTAACCTAAGAGAGAAACATCTGTTCAAACCAGTTTCTTGTTGGAAGGGGTTTTTTTGTTCTCTTTAATCACGTTGAGAAACAAGACACTGATGTGAAAAAGAAGTTTTGGAATCGACTGTTGTCATCAGTTGTTGTTTTGTTTGAAAAAACGTTTATAGAACTGATTTACCAGCACCAAAGAATTTAAGGGAATATTATTTTAAAGCTTGAAAAAATACATGTTATGTTTCAACGTTGTTATTTGTTAAATCTATTTATTTAAATTTCATTTCAGATACAGGAATCAAGAAGTGCATAATGCATACTCTTCTCCATTCAGCTCTTCTTTTTCTTCTCCTTGCTGTGCTCTTCTCCGGTAGGTGTACAATGAACGTTATTATTTGATAATAAATTAAAGTCATTTCTCACTCGCCTTTGATGGTCCAAATTTTGGTCCTCTCACTGTACAGGCCTGCCGAGTTTAGACGCAACATCCTTCCTCTTTCCTCAACTTTGCCTTTGTTAGTACGTTTATGTCAGCAAAAAACCAATGTTGACCTCTTTCACTGTGCTTTTGTTTGATTGCTCCAACAAAACAAAAATCAAAAGTGTCGGATATTCAAACGAAATCAAACGTAGGCCGTGGTTTAAGAAATCATGCGACTTCCGAATCTCATTTTTCCTAAGTAGGTTATTTTGAGAAGCTAAATGTTTCTCCAAACTCCACTTGACCTGATATACTTCCATGGAACTGTTCATGATATATAAGCAACGCTGAGCAAACTGAAAATGGCTCAGAACACTGGCTAAACTCTCTATAAATAACCGGCCCAAAACGTATGGGATGAAGAATCGTCTGTCCTGTTCGTATTCCTTGTTCCCTTAAAAGGAACAAGTATATGATAATGTTTTTCTTTTCTACAACGTTAAGATCGTCAAGTGGCAGGTAGATGCAGTGAAAAAGGTGTTGCTGATACGCCCTGGGCAGCTTGTCTCGTTGCTGAAGAAGGAGATGTGTGCCCACACAATTTTAAGAAACTCGAAGATGACTTTGCCTGTGAGCCATACGGTTCAAGAAGGCCGCCTTATAAAAAGAGAGTATGTTGTCTCTTGGGACCTATTTTAGACTTACAGGTACGTGCCGCTTTCGTCATTATTATTCATTCAAATTGAAGGCGGCAGAAACAATTCTTCGTTTCTCATCACCTTAAGTTCCCTGGTATATTTTTGGCAACAAGCTAACACTGATCATTGATTTGAAATATTTCCGTCAATCATGATCCTTTAATAGCGGAGGAACATATATTGGGTAAATGTAGCAAATAATGTCAGCCCTAACCCTGAATCTTTTTCATCGAGATCCAGAGCTCACCATTCTTATTACAGAAAATGAATCGAAATATAATTTCTCCAGAGAAGATGATAGTGGTTTTTCTTTTTAGGAGAGACTCATGTTCAATTAATCTCGCTTTCTACATGTACGCCATTGTTCTAAAAAAGCAGCGTTCTGAGAGTTTCCATGGGCAAATCTGCTGATCATTGGGACTTAGTTTATGGAATTGAACCTCCTTTTTTCGAAATAACATTAATTTGGGACGATTAAAACCACAAGTAAGAGTGTCACCGAAACATTTGTTTCTGGAAGGTCCCTTATCATTCTCCTTTTCTTGCTGATTTTTCTTAACTCTCTTGCAGATTAAAGATTCGCCATGTTTGGCGGGATCTCCAGCTGGCGACCAAGTGGAAAAGAAAGATAAACGTTTAAAACACCACTGAAACTCACAGCTTGAAAAATGGAAAGTGAATAAAGTATAAGAAAAGTGTTTTGGTTTTGCTCTTTCTTGAATTATCATAAATGATTATTGAGATCTTGGTGTGGTGGGCGTTAGGCAAGTTTGTGTTCTGACCGCACATACCGTGACGGGTCATTCAATTTGAAAATAGTTTTGTTGAAGATGATTAAGCCATTCACCGGTTTCAAATGTACAATTACATCAACTGTACTGTGTATCCCTGCAAATATTGTAAGTTATACTGCGCAAAGGCTCTGCGCTAGAGTCTGCCCCAGAGTGGGGGAGGCTGTGCCTTCACCGGTAGCAAAAACTACCTAAAACCCTATTAGATGGATCAAAAATAAGTATGAACATTTCGGTCCTCAGTTAATGCGGTAAACAAATCCCAGGGGAACCTGTGCCCCACCGGTAGCCAAAACTACCTAAAACCCTTTTAGATGCGCCAAAAATAAGTATAAACCTTTCGGTCCCCAGTTAGTGCGGCAGCGCAAATCCTGGAGATAAAACCTGATAAAGTCGAAATGCACGTAACAAAACAAAACGGTTTTGGTTATGCATTATAGCAAAAATAATAATAGACTTATATTTTATGTCCCGCATGATTGGTATTTGCTAGTTAAAAGATGAAGAAAAAACTGAGAATAACGTTTAGGAGATTACTAAAACCAAACTGTCCCATCACACAACGCCCGTCCACCTCCAGTCCCCTGATCAATGTTAATTTAGCTACTACAATTTAATACACAGATAATGAAAAAAAAGTTTTTATTGAACTTTTTTTCACTATTGTGCTGTTTATGTTTCCTTCTTTTCTTTCTTTTTGCTTCCAGCTAGGCATGGTGCATCTTTAATCTAGACAAAAACAAACAAAATAATTGCCTCGTTATTTCAACTGCTAAGACTAATAGCCGACGCGGTACTATTGACTTTCACTCGGGACTAATATTTCGAAAACGTCACTAGTTGTCAACAATGGTCGTGTTCAGGACTACACTCACCCGGACGATCACCTACTCCTCCCCTAACCCAACATTTTGCCCTAATTGAGAAGTAAGTTGACTTAGGGGAGGGGTATGTGGGAAGTTTCCCAGAAACCTAAATTGATCCTTATATTCCACTTACTTATGAATCAGATAAAATAACATTAGGGCGTGACTATTGGGCCCCAAGTTACCCATGAATATGACCCTACCTTCAGATCAAATGCTGGTGTGAGAAGGCAGCACACTCTCTCTTTCCAAGTTGGAGTTCGTCTACCATTAGGGGTACACCTAAAGTCGTCGTCAAGCTTTGGAAAGCCATATGGACAGCTTCCGTCTGCTTCGGCCACCAGACAAGCCGCCCACTCTGTATCAGCAATGCCACCATTTGTATCGTCACATTTCCCTTCTACTTTTTCTGAGAAGTAAATTCCAAGAAAAATATAACGTCTAGTCTAGCATTTTGGAAAAATACATTCTTCGAGTGAAATATTGACATTTTTTTTTGATCTGCAGCAAATTGGAAAAGCTTGTTACCACAGCAATTTGCCTAATTTTCCAGTCAATTTTTTTTTAAAAAAAATGCAAAATTGAATTATCAGGGGCACCCAACGTCAATTTTCGGAAAATATCTGTTCGGAAGAAGGTGTTAGATCTAGAATTTTTGGGACATTTGATGTAAAATTTCTTGCTTGCCTACCTCTCCTAGTATTTTCGAACACCTAAAAAACGGTATAATTGCCCATTTTTAACGGATTTTTTTTCCCTGAAAAGGTCACCTAGAATTTTCGGGAGCCTATTTTCTGGCTGAAATTTTCGAAAAGGTAAGTTTGAACTCCTATAATTTTCGGATCATTAGACTTTCAGCTAGGATATCCGAATAGACGAAAAATTTTTAGAGGATGAAAATATGCCTACATCTACTGTTTAAATACTAAAATACGTTTAACAATGCTATGTTTAAGTGGTTTTGAACTATATTCTCGTTGGGTGCCCCTGAAGTATTTCAAGCAAAATATTCGGTTTGGAAAATCTCAGAATTTATGTGCCCCAAAAAATTAGTAGTTGCCTTAAAGTAAAAGAATCGAGATATCGTGCCGGTTTTTACTATTGTTCTGACTGGTTGAACAATTGATCAGAGAATTTACAACCCTCTTACTTTCATTATTGAGAAATAGCTTCAATCACTGACCTATGTGCCTTCTCTATAACTGATGCTTTAGCCAAATAATATCCCACATTATAAGAATAAAAAGTTCTTCTTTAGTGATATAAAATAGAAGATTCTTGTTGTTATAATTTCAAGTGAATTCAAGCTTTGTTTGGGACCTTTTCTTCTTATTTTTCTTTATTCATGGTGTTTTAACCGGTCCGCCACAAAGCAGTTAATTAGTTTTAAAACAAAAATCAAATTTTCAAGTGTTCCTTCAACGTTTTTAATTAAAATTGGCCAAGAAAGAAAACACATGCTAAAAAGCTGTTAAAAGACCCAGTAAATATTTTTTTCGCTAGCTCTTTCCTTACGTTGTCATTTATCATTATTTCCTTAAATTCAAAACATATTGGGATATTTGCACGTTTTCACTAATCTTAGACCCAATGCAAAAATCACTGCTTTATTAATATTCTTTTGTTGAAATGGAATTTAGCCTGACTAGCCTCGTTCTCCAGTACAAAATTCAAAAGAATACATTATCTCAAGCGAGGCTAGTCAAGCTAATTTTAACTTCAACAAAAGAATATTAATCCAGCAGCCATTTTTGCATTGGGTCTATAAGGTGAAGTGATCTATTTTAATGTCATGTGTTTTTGAATCATTGTTGTGAAACAACCAAGAATTCGAATCGCACTTTTAGAGAAGGGGAATTGGTCCATACGTGTGTAATAACATTGTGATTTGGATTGTTTTAGACATTTATAAAGTGCCTAAGTGTGAATTATATTGATATTTGGAAGAATTTTTGTTTATATTTTAGAACAAAATGAACGCTCTTCCCTTTCAAAAGATGACCTTATTTCCAGGTACCGGTTCATTTTTCCAAGCTGTTGGTTTTACTAGTGAGAAAACCTGACTTGGAGCACTCTAAAAGTTAATTAAGAAGGCTACAGAAATGACATCATTCTACAGTTTATTACTTAATGAAGACTGCATTGAAGTGACTGCACAATTATTTTATCACTTGCCTTGGGGCAAATTAACAAAAACTTGAGTAATTTCCACTCCTTTACAACCGTTCTATCTTTAGGTTGAAATTTCCAAGGTAAGCCTCTCTGCAATTGTATCTTGATTGTGTGTCTCGAGATTGTAATTATCTGAGCACTTGATATCTTGTGGATAAATTCCCAAGAAAAGGAGGGAAAATATCCACCTTGATGATAATTGTCTATAGGTTACCAGTAAATCTACTCTGCAAGTTTAGCTCCTTTTTTCTAGTTCCGCTTCGTCTGTTATATTAGCTGTCTTATGTATCTATTTTGCTGTTACTTTGAGTAACGTGTATACAAACAAATTTCTTGTTGAAAATTTAACTCCATTTCTCACTTTACACGCGTTGAAAACAGGCACTGTTGTGAAAAAAAGGGGGTTGGAAATGGAGAATTGTTATGGGTTATTTGTTTGAATAAAATTAGGAGATGAAATTTTAGGGATCGAATGTACAAATACTATGAATTTTCAGAATATATTGTTTTGAAGCTTTATCTTGCTGTAACCTAAGAGAGAAACATCTGTTCAAACCAGTTTCTTGTTGGAAGGGGTTTTTTTGTTCTCTTTAATCACGTTGAGAAACAAGACACTGATGTGAAAAAGAAGTTTTGCATTGGAATCGACTGTTGTCATCAGTTGTTGTTTTGTTTGACAAAACGTTTATAGAACTGATTTACCAGTACCAAAGAATTTAAGGGAATATTATTTTAAAGCTTGAAAAAATACATGTTATGTTTCAACGTTGTTATTTGTTAAATCTATTTATTTAAATTTCATTTCAGATACAGGAATCAAGAAGTGCATGATGCATACTCTTCTCCATTCAGCTCTTCTTTTTCTTCTCCTTGCTGTGCTCTTCTCCGGTAGGTGTACAATGAACGTTATTATTTGATAATAAATTAAAGTCATTTCTCACTCGCCTTTGATGGTCCAAATTTTGGTCCTCTCACTGTACAGGCCTGCCGAGTTTAGACGCAACATCCTTCCTCTTTCCTCAACTTTGCCTTTGTTAGTCATTTATGTCAACAAAAAACCAATGTTGACCTCTTTCACTGTGCTTTTGTTTGATTGCTCCAACAAAACAAAAATCAAAAGTGTCGGATATTCAAACGAAATCAAACGTAGGCCGTGGTTTAAGAAATTATGCGACTTCCGAATCTCATTTTTCCTAAGTAGGTTATTTTGAGAAGCTAAATGTTTCTCCAAACTCCACTTCACCTGATATACTTCCATGGAACTGTTCATGATATATAAGCAACGCTGAGCAAACTGAAAATGGCTCAGAACACTGGCTAAACCCTCTATAAATAACCGGCCCAAAACGTATGGGATGAAGAATCGTCTGTCCTGTTCGTATTTCTTGTTCCCTTAAAAGGAACAAGTATATGATAATGTTTTTCTTTTCTACAACGTTAAGATCGTCAAGTGGCAGGTAGATGCAGTGAAAAAGGTGTTGCTGATACGCCCTGGGCAGCTTGTCTCGTTGCTGAAGAAGGAGATGTGTGCCCACACAATTTTAAGAAACTCGAAGATGACTTTGCCTGTGAGCCATACGGTTCAAGAAGACCGCCTTATAAAAAGAGAGTATGTTGTCTCTTGGGACCTATTTTAGACTTACAGGTACGTGCCGCTTTCGTCATTATTATTCATTCAAATTGAAGGCGGCAGAAACAATTCTTCGTTTCTCATCACCTTAAGTTCCCTGGTATATTTTTGGCAACAAGCTAACACTGATCATTGATTTGAAATATTTCCGTCAATCATGATCCTTTAATAGCGGAGGAACATATATTGGGTAAATGTAGCAAATAATGTCAGCCCTAACCCTGAATCTTTTTCATCGAGATCCAGAGCTCACCATTCTTATTACAGAAAATGAATCGAAATATAATTTCTCTAGAGAAGATGATAGTGGTTTTTCTTTTTAGGAGAGACTCATGTTCAATTAATCTCGCTTTCTACATGTACGCCATTGTTCTAAAAAAGCAGCGTTCTGAGAGTTTCCATGGGCAAATCTGCTGATCATTGGGACTTAGTTTATGGAATTGAACCTCCTTTTTTCGAAATAACATTAATTTGGGACGATTAAAACCACAAGTAAGAGTGTCACCGAAACATTTGTTTCTGGAAGGTCCCTTATCATTCTCCTTTTCTTGCTGATTTTTCTTAACTCTCTTGCAGATTAAAGATTCGCCATGTTTGGCGGGATCTCCAGCTGGCGACCAAGTGGAAAAGAAAGATAAACGTTTAAAACACCACTGAAACTCACAGCTTGAAAAATGGAAAGTGAATAAAGTATAAGAAAAGTGTTTTGGTTTTGCTCTTTCTTGAATTATCATAAATGATTATTGAGATCTTGGTGTGGTGGGCGTTAGGCAAGTTTGTGTTCTGACCGCACATACCGTGACGGGTCATTCAATTTGAAAATAGTTTTGTTGAAGATGATTAAGCCATTCACCGGTTTCAAATGTACAATTACATCAACTGTACTGTGTATCCCTGCAAATATTGTAAGTTATACTGCGCAAAGGCTCTGCGCTAGAGTCTGCCCCAGAGTGGGGGAGGCTGTGCCTTCACCGGTAGCAAAAACTACCTAAAACCCTATTAGATGGATCAAAAATAAGTATGAACATTTCGGTCCTCAGTTAATGCGGTAAACAAATCCCAGGGGAACCTGTGCCCCACCGGTAGCCAAAACTACCTAAAACCCTTTTAGATGCGCCAAAAATAAGTATAAACCTTTCGGTCCCCAGTTAGTGCGGCAGCGCAAATCCTGGAGATAAAACCTGATAAAGTCGAAATGCACGTAACAAAACAAAACGGTTTTGGTTATGCATTATAGCAAAAATAATAATAGACTTATATTTTATGTCCCGCATGATTGGTATTTGCTAGTTAAAAGATGAAGAAAAAACTGAGAATAACGTTTAGGAGATTACTAAAACCAAACTGTCCCATCACACAACGCCCGTCCACCTCCAGTCCCCTGATCAATGTTAATTTAGCTACTACAATTTAATACACAGATAATGAAAAAAAAGTTTTTATTGAACTTTTTTTCACTATTGTGCTGTTTATGTTTCCTTCTTTTCTTTCTTTTTGCTTCCAGCTAGGCATGGTGCATCTTTAATCTAGACAAAAACAAACAAAATAATTGCCTCGTTATTTCAACTGCTAAGACTAATAGCCGACGCGGTACTATTGACTTTCACTCGGGACTAATATTTCGAAAACGTCACTAGTTGTCAACAATGGTCGTGTTCAGGACTACACTCACCCGGACGATCACCTACTCCTCCCCTAACCCAACATTTTGCCCTAATTGAGAAGTAAGTTGACTTAGGGGAGGGGTATGTGGGAAGTTTCCCAGAAACCTAAATTGATCCTTATATTCCACTTACTTATGAATCAGATAAAATAACATTAGGGCGTGACTATTGGGCCCCAAGTTACCCATGAATATGACCCTACCTTCAGATCAAATGCTGGTGTGAGAAGGCAGCACACTCTCTCTTTCCAAGTTGGAGTTCGTCTACCATTAGGGGTACACCTAAAGTCGTCGTCAAGCTTTGGAAAGCCATATGGACAGCTTCCGTCTGCTTCGGCCACCAGACAAGCCGCCCACTCTGTATCAGCAATGCCACCATTTGTATCGTCACATTTCCCTTCTACTTTTTCTGAGAAGTAAATTCCAAGAAAAATATAACGTCTAGTCTAGCATTTTGGAAAAATACATTCTTCGAGTGAAATATTGACATTTTTTTTTGATCTGCAGCAAATTGGAAAAGCTTGTTACCACAGCAATTTGCCTAATTTTCCAGTCAATTTTTTTTTAAAAAAAATGCAAAATTGAATTATCAGGGGCACCCAACGTCAATTTTCGGAAAATATCTGTTCGGAAGAAGGTGTTAGATCTAGAATTTTTGGGACATTTGATGTAAAATTTCTTGCTTGCCTACCTCTCCTAGTATTTTCGAACACCTAAAAAACGGTATAATTGCCCATTTTTAACGGATTTTTTTTCCCTGAAAAGGTCACCTAGAATTTTCGGGAGCCTATTTTCTGGCTGAAATTTTCGAAAAGGTAAGTTTGAACTCCTATAATTTTCGGATCATTAGACTTTCAGCTAGGATATCCGAATAGACGAAAAATTTTTAGAGGATGAAAATATGCCTACATCTACTGTTTAAATACTAAAATACGTTTAACAATGCTATGTTTAAGTGGTTTTGAACTATATTCTCGTTGGGTGCCCCTGAAGTATTTCAAGCAAAATATTCGGTTTGGAAAATCTCAGAATTTATGTGCCCCAAAAAATTAGTAGTTGCCTTAAAGTAAAAGAATCGAGATATCGTGCCGGTTTTTACTATTGTTCTGACTGGTTGAACAATTGATCAGAGATTTCTTATCCAATTGTACGCTGGTGGAAGGCCTATTTTAAGTCCTCTATGACTGGTGTAGTTATAATTAAATTTCAACCCTGCTCGCCATAAAGCCTCTAGTAGCTCAGTCGTTAGAGAGTCGGAACTAGAATTTGGAGGGTCGTGAGTTCGCTTCTCACACGGAGCTAACAATTTTTTTCTGAGCTTTCTGGTGTTAGAAATATCCTTCTCCCAAAATACAAAACATTAAGTTATACAGCGCGAGCCCAAGAAACTGTTAATAGAATTACTTGCGTCACTATATGGAAAACCGCTCTTACTATAACCCAATCTTAAGATGAACTGTCAGTTACTATCAAGTACCATCTATACATCTTACCACAGAGAAATGTGAGAGTGAAACTAAGCATCAAAGCAAACCTGAGCTTCATATTTCTTGCACGCTATGAAGCAAAGATTTGAAATGCACATGTTATAGGCGGAAGATTAGAGAGAGTTTTTAGCGGAGCGCTACGCGCGCGCGAAGCGCGCACTAGCGTTGCCCAATAGCTAAGAAAATTTACTTTTCTATCCATCCTAGAAAATTTGGTTATGACGTCAGCGTACGACCGAACGCTGACCGCACAGACTCTGGGAAAGGGGGAAGCGAGTCAGGAGTCAGCCCTTCAGGGGAGAAGAGTATGTTATAACGTAGCCCCAGAAATGTTAATAGTAAGCTAGTGTGGATAATACCGCACATTCATGTTAAAATGAAGCGACAGCTGTAAAAACAGGGTATCCACTGAGCGGTATCACATGACCTTATCGCGGGCTCAAGTTTTGACCTATTGTGTTTACGCGTCTTCCACTGACAAGTTTTTAGTTTTCAACTGATCGCAGGTTCAAGATTATTTTTTTAACGCACACAACACATGAAATAAGTTGTGCTTATTAGCTAGCGACCGAACTTCGGACGCGGAAAGTCAGCCTTTTGTAACAGTAGGGAAGGCAGTTGCTATTGAGATTTTCTCTTTGTTGACTTTATTTAGGATGGTCACGCGTTGGTCACACTCTGCATCCCATTCGTATCCCAGATCGGTCAAAATTTGCAGGTGAGTTCATGTGGCATATATTATGAAGCTGGAAACTTGTTTACTGGTAGCTGAAGCTGACCGGGATTTCGTCGTATCTTTTCAAACGCCTAGATCTACAAAATCAAATACATCTGCTATCAAGAATCTTTTTTTATTCACGGATGGCTGGTCTTTGGTTGAGAAATGCGCCGCTTGACAAAAAAGTAATCGGAAATCATCGTTTTCAAAAATAAGTTTCCTTTCGTACATACTTCACCTTGCTGAATGCGAAACATAATGACGGTTCAAAAGTCTAAAGCGATTTTGATCTTACTTGGTGGCTTTCAGGAGCTGCATCTCGACTGGTAAGCTAAAGTAATTTTCATTGTATCTGACGTTTTTTTTTTTTTGGGGGGGGGGGGGGGGGGGTG